GTACTCCCTTAATATTTTGAAATTTATAAAAAATCTAACTTGAGCAATCACTTTAACAAGTTTTATTTCTATCTACCTAGAAAAGATAAGATCTTTTCAAAGCTTTCATTTTATTTTATTTTCAAAATAGTAGACTAACATCTCCCCATTTTCCCCATCCCCCAGGTCCTGGCAAAATTTGGTAAGAGAGAACATTTTAAGTGTTTTCATCACACACACATGCATACATAATAACTATGGGTGGTGATAAATGTACTAATTAATTTGAGTGTGGTAATCATTATACAATTTGTATATACATATCAAATCATGATGTATCTCCTAGATATACAAATTTTTATCAATTAAATATTTTAAAATAAATAGATTAAACTAAATACAGATTTATGGTGTTTTTTTGTTTGTTTTTGAGTCACTGGCAGTATTTATCTAATATAGGAAAAATGACAATATCTATTTATAAAAATATTAACAATACTACTGCCACTACCACATAGAATTTATGTACTATTTTTATGCTTTTAATACTTCTTTCATTTGTAGTAATTCCTATACTACACAAGAGACCTCTTAGGAAAAGATAAGGATAGCATCATATTCATTTTATATGTGAAGATGAAAAACTACTAAAATTTTCAGTGATAAAATTAAAATTGCATTCCTAGTAAGTTGACAGGATCTACACTAGAGTTTATGTCTGTTTAATCCTAGGCTAGTGTTCATTCTGCTATGTGATGTCACTGAATGTTTTCAGAAAACTTAGAAGCAAAAGTAAAATGAGGTAAAATGAGCACATTTTACCATTTTAGTTCAAAAATGTAATTCTGGTGAAATTAACACCTGGGAAGGAACATTAATTCTAGATGTATTCCCTGTATTAATTGCATACTAATTTTCAATATTGTAAATTAAGTTGCAAATGATGCTACACAAGCTCATGAAACTTACACCCTTAGAAGTAGCTGACAGTCTTAATAAAGATCCCCTGCACCATTCTGTATATCTGTGGAAAAAAAGAATCCCTCAGAAATATGGGAACATTTGTGCAGCAATACATGCTTGCTTAGCAAATGCTTCATGAGGACAGAACACACAGCTCAAAAAAGACTCTTTCCTGTAAGAGTAGGGCAGATAAGGAAGCACACTGAAATTTAAACGAGTAAATCTGCTTGGAAAAAAATGTCTGGTATATAAATAATATATAAATGTGCTTTTTACAGATGAATGACAACAGGAAGAAAGAAGTGAGACCTACTCCGTGACAGGATAAGGTCATATCAGCACGAGAAAATTTAGGTCTAAATGAGACATAAAGTTTATTTATTTTACTCTTTTGGCTAGACATTATATTTATAAAAAAGTTCATAAATACATGTTTAGGATTTATGTATCAGAATGCCTGCACATAATCAGTTGAGCTAATGTATACTATTTTTGATGGTTTATTAGCACTTATATTTTAATCATACATGTATATTTTCTTGTCTATTTAAATTTCATCCATTCATTGATTTCTTACTCTACTTCTTGGTCCTCTGCACTAGTTTTTACATTGGTGAAGTTTACTTTGTTTTGTTTAGTAACATAACAACTGAGAAAATGGCTTTTGAGAAAGAAAGTCTAAATTCCAACCCTGTCTCCACTACTTATTAACTCTGTGATCTGAGATAAATTATTTAATATCTCTGAATCTGAGTTCTTACCTCTTTAGAATACCTATAATAATAAAACTCATGCTTCTCAGAGCCATTGTGAATATTAAATTGTGTAGTGCATACAACTATGCTTAGTACACAGTGACTGGTCGATACATTAGCTTTCACTAGAAATACTGATATTTATGTAATTGTTTATTATCATTATTGCCATTTTACAGTAATAGTATTCTTGTTAGGAATTTATTGAGAAAAGTTTCATTCATATACTCATGCCACAAACATTTCTTGAGTGTCATACAGTAATGCCAGGCATGAATTTAGATATTTTTCTAGACAGTTTAATGAAATAAACAAAAAGATGTCCAACACTTGTCCAAGATGGTACTTGTCATAAGTGCCAAATGAAAATAAAACATGATATGATAGAGTGCCCATGGAACTTCTCAATGTTGCATAGTCTTAAAGTCTTCTTTAATGCCGATGTTTAATCTGGACTTAGCATCACAAACCAGCTACATAAAGATATGGATATTGTGCACCACAGGCAAGGCTAGGAGGCAATGAGAAAGGTCCTTGCCCTGGATTTATAATGATAACGATAACAGTAAAAAATAATAGTAATAATTACAGTTAGCATGTATTGAACAATTACTCTGTGACTGTTACCTTGAACTCATTTAATCCTCACAACAAATCCTATAATATCAGAACTATAATTTTATAGATAAAGAAATTGAAACCACAAAGAGGTTAAGTATCTTGCTCAAAATCACAAGAATTATGTTTTTAAAGCTAAGCTCTTAACCACTAAGTTGTACCATCATGTTGTATCTTGTGATTTGGAGAAACAGAAAGTCCAGTGAGGCAGAAGTGTGTTGGACTAGGACAGAATATTATATTACACAATGAGATTTGAGCAGTAGGCAGGTACCTACCAGAGAATTTAAAATTAAATTTAAAACTCAATTGTAGTAACAACTTTACCCTAATTTTCTTTCTCTCCCTTGATTTATTCTTATTTTTAAAATTATTAATTTAATTGCCTTATCTTTTTCTTTTGGTTTCCATGAAGCTCATATGCTTTTTATAAGTTAATAAGTTCCATATATTTAAAAATTCACAAAAGTGGATAAAAAACATTGTTTGGTTACTTTATAACATAAAATTTCAATGTTATCTGTACCCTTAGTTAATATGAAACTGGATATTGAGCTGATCTAGAAGGTCCAAGACAGATTTATTTACATTTCTGATTCCTGGGCAGGAATAGCAGGAACCTTGGGCTCAGTGGGGACTATCCACAATTAGTGCCTCCACATGAATTCTCCAAAATGGTGGCCTCAGGGTAACATGACTTTTTACAAAGTATGCCAGAGCTTTAAGCAAGTGTTCAGTGAACAAAACAGAAGCTACCTAACATTGGAAATCACAGTTCCACGACACTCTTGGCCAAAGCATTCTTGTCAGATCCAAGGGGTCGGGGGATAGACTCCAACTCTTAATGGGAAGAGTAACAAAGAATGTGTGGCCATGTTTTAAGATGAGCACAGGAAGCTAATTTAGATTAAAATTGGACTTGATTGACTGTCCTGAGACACGTAGAATCTTTACTGTTGTCTGCAAGTATCAGCAGGCTGGCCAACCAAGTCCATTCTCTGCGTTCTCCCTGATAAACCACCATGACATAAGACACTTTGAGTATATTAAAAACTATAGCTTTCAGCTCATTATATACATATATCCTAAATATACATCTAATCTTCATGAATATAACTTGAAATTATTAAGTCTTCCTTAACACATAGAAGTTTGTGTCATCATCTGTGGCCAAGTTTGGACATATGCCTGAAGTCTTCAAAATCCAGTGATTATTTGGAGATTCTGTGGCTGTGTCAAGAATATAGGCATCTGTCTTATATTGACAGCTATTTATGGCAGGAAGAACATTCTCAGATCCCAAAAATCTGGCCCCAAAGTCTTCACATGGCAACATCAATTATTCACTTCATGGGAATATCCCTTTGATACTAAAACCAATAAGGAGCTTATTCTCTGTTAAATGTTAAATATAAAGGAAATATCAAGTGATTTTCAGACACCAGTATAATCTGGAACATAAAACGGGGAAAGGGCAGAATATATGCAAGTTGTAAAAATGAGGCAATTTTTGGCAGCCAACAAATTTATGACATTGAGAAAACAGAAGAGGGCATCAAAGGAGAGGTCATGGAATAAGAATAAGGATTAGAAAAAAGAAGGTTAAGGGAAGTCATATGTTTCTTAAAAATATTAAGAAGGAGAAGAAGAGAAAGAAAAGAAGGAAAACTCTTTAATGGGAAATTGTTATTTAGTAAGCATTTATCATGTGCCAACACTCATGCATAGTTTTCTACAGAAATATAATGACCTATTAGATGATTCTCATCGTGTATGTGTGTGTGTGTTTTTTGTTTTTTGTTTTTTTTAAATAGGAAGAAAGTACAGTATGTAAGTGCAACCTAACTTATTCAAGGACTTGATGTATCAGATGGAAGTACCAGGATTTATTCAACCTCAGTTTTATCAGATTCCTTAATGACTTCATATATCTCAAAATCCTATGCTACAATAGAGCAGTTAGGACGACACACTCTGTTATTAGAACTTTGGGAAGGCTTTCCAGAAGGCAACAATTTAACTGTCCATTACAGCAGTGGTCCCCAATCTTTTTGGCACCAGGGACTGATTTCATGAAAGACAATTTTTCCGCTGACCGGGGAAGGTGGGATTGTTTCAGGATGACTTCAGCACATTGCATTTATTGAGTAATTTATTTCTATTGTTACATTGTAATATACAATTAAATAATTATACAACTCACCATAATACAGAATTTAAAGCCACTGCTGATCTGACAGGAGGCAGAGCTCAAGCAGTGATGTGAGCAAAAGGGAGCAGCTATAAATACAGATGAAACTTCTTTCACTTGCCCGCTGCTCACCTTCTGCTGTGCAGGCCCATTCCTAACAGGCCACAGACCGGTACCAGTCTGCAGCCTGGGGGGTGGGGAACACAGTTTTAAAGGCCACTCAAGATTTCGCTAGGTGGATAAAAAAGGGAATCATATACAAAGGAATCATTATGAGGTGTGAAGTTTGCTACCCTACAGTTGTGGTCGTCAACCCCCTGCTGCAGACCAGTACTGGTCTATGAACTGTTAGGAACCAGGCCAGGCACAGAGCTCTTCCTCTGCCCCTCTGCCCTCCGCTCCCTCTGCTATCCATGGAAAAATTGTCTTCCATGAAACTGGTCCCTGGTGCCAAGAAGGTTGGGGACCACTGTCTACAGCATATGTACGTATAAATACAGTGATAAGAAATGAGTATGGAAAAGGTAGAAGACATTTTGGGAGGTTGTCAGGGTTTAAGTTGAAGTCATAGTTATATGGTCTTAGATATTTTACACAACCTATATGAAGTTAAATTTTCTCAATTTAATTAGGTATGTGTGTATTACTTTATTCATTATTTCAACAAATATTCATTTGATTGCTTGTTATATACCAGACAAACACTAGGTAGTAGAGATGCACTTGTGAGCCAAATAGACACAATACATGCTTGTATGAAGCTAAGAGTCTGATGGAAGAGATATAATTTATCAAAACAACCACACAAATATATATTAAAGCAGCATAAATTTTTATGAATAATAAAATACATGAATTTATAAGATGATCTAGCTTGGAGAGATGATGAAGATTTCCATATGGAATTTCATTTTAGCTATAGTCTTAAGACTAAGTAGGAGTGTATTAGATGAAAGAGAGAAAAGAAGAGTAGGAAACCAAACAATTTTGGGGACAGTATGGGCAGACTACAGAAAAAGTAAGGGTAGGGAGAAGACATGGAAGAGTTTTGCAAAATAAGTGCAATGTGAACATATTTACATTTTTTAAAGACCTAAAGATGCATTCGAGAGAACAAAAGTGGAATAGAAAGCATCTAGGAGACTCAAGCAGAAACTCAGGGAATAGATGGTACTTACTTGGATTAGAAAGATATGGTGGAGAAAAAATCGGAATAATATATTACTTATTTTTTTAAAGATAAAAGAAAGTTACTAAACAAGTGAAAAGGAAAGCATATGGCATAAAGTTGACTATATAAGAATAATATATATTAGAATAAAACATATTAGAATACAAAGACAGGTTCAATCATACAAAATGTTACATGGAATAGAGTTTGAGTCATGTTGAAGGCAATTTGAAAGCAAAAACTTTCACAGGGAATAGACTGATATATTTAGATCTGAGTGCAATGGAAAAATAACTGCAGTAAAGAGGGGTAATAAACTGTCTAGAATAGAAGGAGTAAGGACAGCTACTAGGAAAGAAATGGGAAATATACTAGGGCAGCATCAGTGGGAATGAAGAAGAATGAATAAATAAAAGATGTTTGTATATAAATTCATCATAGTATGGTGACTACTTGAGCATGGGAAGGGAATAAGAGTGATAAATTGGTTCAATTTGGTTCTGTATGTTATAAATGAAGAATTGCTATCCTATACAATATGCTAGATTAATTTGTAGATGTAAAGATAAATATAAGGTGTTCTATATCCTTGGATCATAGTTGAGTAGGTGAGTGTGATAGATGCCTTCCACCCTTCCTCAAGTTGGGGAGTTGCAAAGATAACAATTACATACCCCAGACCCCCTTTGCAGCTTGGGTTCTAGATATAAATTAGATTCCAACACTTGGTGGCACTTGCAAGAGATTTAGAAAGTAGAACTGCAACAGAAACTCTGGCTGCTAATATTGCTGCCGGCAAGCAAGGTCATGAGACCTGGGTATTTAGAAGTTGCTGGTAATAGCAGCCATCCTCTGATTTCCTATATTGAGCTACCAGCTTGCACGCATGAGAGGCAGCTGTGAAAGCAGCTGGTGGGGGCAGCAGTAGCTTCTTGACCTCCGAATAACAGCTGGTAAGGCATGTCCTTAAGCTCAATGGTCTAGGGGTGGTTCCCTGACTTCTGCCCCAGCTTGCCCAATGATTTGATAAGTATCTTTTTTTTTCTATATCAAACCTCTTTCTGCTTAAAATACCTAGATTTTTTTTCCCTGAATTAAATCATGAGAGTCACAGTGAGTCAGTTGTATAAATAGATAACTTATATAATATGCTAAGTGCTATGATAGTCTAAAGCAGGTGTCCTCAAACTACATACCGCGGGCCACATGCGGGACACTTAGCACATTTATCTGGCCCCCTGGGCATTTTTGCTGCCACTGCCTGACCTGCTTAGCAGCCAGACTTGTCCTGGGCCCACAGTGTGCACTCTCCAACGGTCTGAGGGACAGTGAACTGGCCCCCTGTTTAAAAAGTTTGAGGACCCCTGGTCTAAAGCATAGTGATAAGACCACTAAGTTTTACTTTTAAGTGACCCATGGATTGTAGCACCAAGTACCACCAAAGATTTTATGCAGAGGCCATCAGAGGAATAGAGGTGGCGGCAAGAAGAGTACACTTGTTGAGACTGAGAGAAGACATGATACGGACTGTCTTGCTCTGTACTGTCACTCTGACCACCCTTGCCAAAACCATGGGCTTCTCTAAGCTTGCATTTTCTTTGATGCAAAACCACAAGATTAAACCAAGTTCCCTTTCTGCTCTATATTTCCATAAATCTATGAGAACAATTCATTTTACTTATAAGAACACATTTTCAAACATGTCAGAATTTCATAAGATATTTTCTTTCCAAAGGAATATCATGAGTCTTTACTTGACTCTTACAAGGATAAATGTCAAATTAGTTGTTATAATGGGAGGAAATCATTTAGCTACTTGGGAGTTTCCAGGTTCTAATCAAATTAGGATAAAATTGATATGTCTTCTGTGTGAACAATGGTGCACAGGTGTGAGAGAGCTATACCATTAAAAATATAGAGTCAGATAACTATGTTTTAACTTTTCATCATGACACAAGCTCCCTATTCTCACTGTCAATTTATTATTTAAACCTGAGAAAATGAGCTTCTCAAATTCAGGAACAATTTATATCTTTATTATGAGACAAGAAGATTGAGAACAAAAAGATACTTTTGTATTTTTCAGGCACCATAATTTCTTAGAATTTGAAGAGCAGTCAACATGACAGTTGTCATCATCCTCTACCCTCCATTATAAATGATTCATGAGTAGAAATTATTATTCAATAGCAACTTTTAGAAGCACCAAAACATTGTAGCTCCTTAGTTCCAACTCTCATGTGCTGAAAGTAATCATATAACCAAAAGACATTATTTTGCTATACAAAATGTACCTCTAAAATTACTGCTGGTGTCATTGAACTTCAGTAACTGTTGTTTTTATTTTTTGCTGTCCTTCAGTCTGCATGCATCAGAATCTCTGAAACATGCCTAGCGTTTAAATGAAATAGAAGAAAGAAGATCTTTCTACCTTCTGCAATAAGTTGAAAATTGAAAGGAATCAGTAATCTCCGATTTCTGATTTGGTAGCACGGTAAGGCAACATGTATGTTTTTGCTGCTGTTTTGTTTTGTTCTAAAGATAGTAAGGTCACCACATTCTGTTTAGAACACAATGACTTTCCCCAGATCATAAATCCTTCCACACCCTGAATACTCTGTTTGTTTTTGTTGTTGTTGTTGAAACGTTGTTTTGTACTGTTCTCTAACAGCAAGAGAGGGAGAGAGAGCCTCTTAAGAGCAGGGGCAGTGTCTTTTTTTCTCAGTCTCTCCAAAACCTAGCATAACGCATGGCATTCAACAAAATTCAGTACGTTTACACTAACTCTTCTTGAAGTACATATAAGTACCTTGAAGTACATATAAGTGACAAGTTTAAAAATCTGACAAATTTAGTGAGGCTTAATAAGCTTAAAGAAAAGAAATAAATTCTTAGCTACAGAATTTTAAAAGAGAATGAGTGAAAAACTAAAAAAAATTTTTGGAAGAATAATGTAATTTTAAAAGAAAGCTTGATTAGATATGTAGGAAACTGAGATGATTCTGAATAATAGAATGAAACTAATTAAGACTAGCTGGTTTATAGTAACTGTGATAAAAAGTGCAGGTGAAATAAAATTTGAATGTTTTAGTACAATAAACTTGTACATAAGGGCACATAAATTTTTGTAAACTTCAAATCAAAGCTGCAGTTCTAAAAATAATGTGATGATTATACATCAACTTGGCTAGATTATAGTGACCAGTTGTTTGTTCAAACACAAGCCTAGACATGTTTAAGATGTGATTAACATTTATAAGTCATTGAATTTAATAAGTAAGCAGACTACCTTCCATCATATGGGTGTATTTCAGTCAAATATTTGAAAGCCTTAAGAGCAAAGAAAGGACTTCTCAAAAAAGAAGGACTTCTGCCTCCAGACAACAAATACAAATTCTGCCTGATTTTTCTCCCTTCACACTCAAGACTACAACAACTCTTACCTGAATCTTCAGACTGCCATCTTGCCCAACACATTTCAGACTTACCAGCCACCAAAATCATGTGAGCAAATTTCTTAAAATCTATCTATCTATCTAATTTATCATATTAGATCAGTTGCTATGGAGAACCTCACTAATGCAAGTAATAGGGATAGTACAGGGTCAAGTAGCCTATTGACCTAAGAGTCCATCAATTTTACCTGGTGAGAACTGATGGCTGCCATTAACATATATGTTTTAGGTGCCTTATGAAACATTCTTTCTTTCATTTCCGAAAGATTTTTTTTTTTTTGTAATTAAAGCATATTTTAGGACCAACCACGGTGGCTTCTCCTAGCACTCTGGGAGGCTGAGGAGGGGGACTCGCTTGAGGTCAGGGCTTGGAGACCAGCCTGAGTAAGAGTGAGACCCCGTCTATACTAAAAGTAGAAAAATTGGCTGGGTGTCATGGTGTGTGGCCATAGTCCCAGCTACTCAGGAGGCTGAAGCAGGAGGATAGCTTAAGCCCAGGAGTTTGAGGTTGCTGTGAGCTAGGCTAATGCCATGGCACTCTAACCCAGGCAACAGAGCAAGACTGTCTCCCTGCCCACCAAAAAAAAAAAAAAAAAAAAAAACTACCTAATTTATGTATTATTATTTTGTTGTTTTGTTTGTGTTTTTTTTGAAACAGAGTTTGGCTCTGTTGCCTAGGCTATTAACTTTTGTATATTAACCTTGTATCTTGAAACCTTGCTATAATCACTTACTAGTTCCAGGAATTTTTTTTTTTTTGACAATTCTTTTGGCTTTCCTACACAATCATGTCATCTGTGAACAAACCCAGTTTTATCTCTTCTTTCTCAATCTGTATGCCTTTTATTTTCTTTACTTATTCTTAGGTCCATAGTCCAAAGAAACACACAAAGCCCCAAGGGTAGCAAAATGTTGTTTATTTTGAGCATCTGGGTGTGGATGGGTGGAGGCCAAAAGAGTGTCCACCACAAAGGAGGGGAAAGCCTTGGGTTTTAGAGAGGGTTTTTTCAAGGGGAGTGAGCAACACCTGCAGGGACAGAGGAGAAGGGTGGTGGCTTCCTTCTTATCAGGGGGATAGGAATGCCAGTGCAGCTGTCTGTTAGATTTACAACCTGACTCTCCAGACTCCTGCTGCTATTGTTTTACAAGCCTAAGTTTTCCATTAACTGCAATCTGTTGTCCTATACATACTTTTCTGGTTTCCACCTGGAACAAACCTAACATTTATCATATTGCATTAGCTAGGACTTCCAATACAATGTTGGAAAGGAGTGGTGAGAGGAGAACATCATTTTCTTGTTCCTGAATGGGAAAGCCATTAATTTCTCACCATTAAGTACAATGTTAGCTGTAGGTTATTTTGGGAATCCTTTAACAAGTTGAGGAAGTTCCCCTCTATTCCTAGTTTAGTGAGTTTTTATTATGAATAGTGTTGGATTTTGCCAAATGCTTTTTCTGGATCTCTTGATATGATCATGTAATTTTTCTTTTTAGTCTGTTAACATGATGGATTAGATAAATTGATTGTCAAATGTTAAACAAACTTTGCAAATCTGGAAAGACCAAGCTCATTTAGTCATGGCATATAATTCTTTTTATATATTGTTGGATTTGAGCTGCTAATATTTTATCATCAATATTTGCATCTATATGCATGAGAGATAATGGTTTGTAGTTTTCTTTTCTTGTAATGTCTTTTTCTAGTTTTGCTCTTAGGGTAATTCTGATCTCATAGAATGAATTAGGAAATATTTTCTCTGTTTCTGTACTCTGAAAGAGATTATAGAAAATTGGAATAATTTCTTTCTTAAATATTTGGTAGATTTTACTAGTGAACCCATCTCAGCCTAATGCTTTGTTTTAGAAAATTGTTAATTATTGTTTCAGTTTCTTTAGTAGATGTAAGTCTACTCAGACTATTTCTTCCTGTACAAAATGCAGCAGATTGTGTCTCTCCAAGAATTGTTCCAGTTCATCTGGGTTATCCATTTTATCCTTTTAATGTCCATCATATATTAATGTGTGTCCTATCTCTTTTTTTCCTACTTATTTGGTTTGAATTTTGTCGATTTTATTGATCTTTTCAAAGAACCGCTTTTGGTTTCATTGATTTTCTCTATTGATTTTTTTTTTTCAATTTTAATTGATTTCTGTTCTAATTTTTATTATTTCTTTTCCTCTATTTACTTTATATTCAATTTGCTCTTTTTTTAAGTTTTCTGGGGGTGGAAACTTAGATTATTGATTTTAGATTTTTCTTCTTCTCTAATACACTCATTTCAAAATAATCCTTTTCCTCTTACCCTGCTGAACGTGACACAAAGTGAGCATGTGCTGTTGGGAAAATGCTGCTGATAGATTTGCTCAATGCAGGGTTGCTACAAATCTTTAATGTGTAAAAAAAATGTAATAAAACAAAGCACACTAAAATTAGATATACTTGTACTTCATGGTTGAGAGAAAAAGATACCCAGAACATGAAACTTTCTTCACTCCCAGGTAGAAAAAGATATACCTTCTCCCATGAATCCACTTCTTAAAAGGACTCCACCTTCACTACAACAATTGTCAAAAACTTTAATGATTGGCTTTTATATTTATTCCTTATTAGACTTTGTTCTTCTTGACAGTAGAATCTCTATAGTTTCTAAGTTGCATTTGAAGTGCATGTCCTAATGCATTACAGACCAATGGCATTCACTGAATTATTAAATGAATGATAATACAAATTTAAAGGGATTTTGCTAGTAATTGTCTACAGTGTAACTGACAGCATTACTTGTTAGTCATTTCTTCAGAGGCCAAAACCATTTCCTTTATTTCCATTTCACAATATGGACTCTGAAATCCTAACAACAAGTTTACTTTTCAATAGTTGAATTGCATCAATTTGGTGAACTTATAATGGGTTTGTTTTATTCATCACCTTGTTTTATTCACCATCTTTAGTTGTAAATTCTTTTCATGGGGTTTCTATGGTTTAATGATAACCAGAAATGACTCAAGCAGTTAAAGAATTCACTTCATTAGTGCAAAGTGGGCTAATTTGCATCACAAAACAATTCATTTAGATACAGAAAGCTGCTCTGCATATCTCCTCTTCATGCTTAGTATAATTTTAACTTTATTAATGCAAACTCTAAAGGTATTTATCTTAACTTGCTTGTTCTCCAGCTATCAGGGATGGTAAAGACCAATATTTCCTCTAATCCTTTTAATGAAGAAAGGCCAAAGATATAAAGTAAAAATGTATGCTAATTAAGTATGCAGCATACACTTTTGCAGGGAAATATAAGTTGTGCATGAATGACCACTGTCTTATAGTAGCAGAACCATTGGGAGGGTCTTGAGTTCAAATTCTATGTGAATTAATTGCACTTTATTTTATGGATTCATATAAATTATCCCAATCCTCCCTCCGTTTTTCTATCTCCCCTCTTTCTCCCCTCTCCTCCTCCTTCTCCCTCCCTAACCCTTACCCTTTCCCTCTTTCTCAGCTTATGCAAGAATTTCAAAAACAAAAATGTTGTAAAGATACATGCAATGACTATTACTAAAACATAATATTATAACATTATAGAAAAAAACATGTGCTTTGAAGTCAGCAACCCTAAAATAAAGCTCTTACCTGCCATGTATTATCTGGGTTTTTTAAACTTGCTTTTTATTGGGTGGTTGTGAGAATAAAATGAGATAATACTGCTATGGACTGAATGTTTATTTTACCCCAAATTCATATGTGGAAATCCTAACCCCCGATATTAGGAGGTGAGACTTTTGACAGGTAATTAGGTCGTCAAGGTGGTGAATACACGAATAGGATCAAAAAACGATTTATTCTCTCTCTCTGCTTTCTTCCATGTGAAAATACAATGATAAGATGGCCCTATGCAAACCAGGAAAGGTACCCTCACCAGACAATGGATCTGCCAGCATGTTGACCCCAGATTTTCCAGCCTCTAGAAGTGTAAGAAATAAATTTTTGCTTTTTATCTGCTACACAGTCTATGATATTTTTGTTATAGCAGCCCAAACAGATTAAGATGCTCCATAAAGGGAAGTCCATGTCACAATTGTAAAAACAATTTCTATACTACCAGTCTATTTTTCTGATGTCCTCTTCCTCTTCAGACATAGCTGACATTTTCCTGACATATAATCCTCTTCTGATTCTGAACAGAAAATGATCTGCTACAATCGTATACATCTTAACTGGTACTCATTCGCAAACTCAGAGTCTTCTCTGTGTTCTGAGTGCTTTTGGAAAAGGCATCTTATACAATCAAAGTGACTATAGTTAATTGCAAAGAGGGATGGAAACTAATGGCAGCAGCTGCCATTTCCTGAACACCTACAAGGTGGCATTCTCTGTGATGGACACTCTCTGGAAATGATCTCTAAATTTCACAGCTCCTGTTAAGGCAAGTGCTACTATATATAAAATTCAGAGATGAGAAAATTAAGGGTCAGAGAAATAAATCACCTGGTTGAAGACATGTAATTAGAAAAAAAGCAAGTAAGTCCATAAGGCCAGCATGTTTTGTAAGCAATCATATCTGCCTGCCATATCTAACATTATCCTATGTTTAAGAGAGAATATGATTATTATAGAAAAAGTGAAAGCTGCATACTGGACTTGGACATTGATTTTTTTAAAGCTGCTGAAAAAAATCTTCAAACATATTTGTTTTATGTGTGGGCCTTTTCTCCCCTCTTCTTTAACATTTACTCAGTCCTTGGGTGGGGCTCAGGAACAGCTACAGAAGGAAGCACACATACTATATGTCTAAATATGTAAAAGTTATAAATCAAACTATGACATGGAAAGGTATTCTATCCTCTAACCTGAAAGGGTCAAACTTGAATATAGAACTATTGCACTTTTTGGAATTCTGAGCTAAATATGGTACAAAGAGGAAATCCTGCTCCAAATCATCAATCTCTAGTCCTAAATATGCAACCTCACTCCTTTTCTCCTACTTTTGACTCATCACAAACTGACAGGAGCATTGGGGATCCCCTGCCCACACACCAAAGCTCCATCTATATTCACAAAGTTATCCTAGGGCCAGAGATGTTCCCAACAAAGTTACTCCACATTTGGGTACGACAATGGGGAAAATCTCAGAGATAGTTAGACAGTGGATTCTAGAGTCCCAAGTACCCAGAGCACACATCTCTGAAGGGCATTCATGAGTTCCGAGTAGGCTTATCTCCTTGACCCCTTGAGACCTTCACCACATAAAAAGGTATGTTTTGGGAAGAAGGCCAGGTACCCAGATGAGAGGCTCCTTCTGTCCAAGTCCAAAGTTGGTTCTGTGTTTTGCCCTCAAATATCAAGGACCCAGAGCTAGTTCTCATTGTAGCCTCTTCATTCCATGTTCCACCATCCCTGTTGGAAGTTCTATCCCCTGTTATAGCTTGGAAATCATTCTGTGTCCTTCCTTTTTTTTTTCTTTTTCCACCTTCACTTTGTTCTCTGCTCCATTCCATATCTCTCTGTCTGTCCCTTTCTCCCTCTTCTCCTCCTATCCCCTTTAGTTCCTCTCTCCTTTACCATCACTCTGTTTAAAAGCACAGCCTCTGGAATCAGACAGCCCTAGTTTAAACACCGGTTCCCTCACTTATTATTCACATTGTCTTGGGTTACTATTTGGCTTCTCTGTAGTGCAATTGCCTCATCTGTAAGGCCTGGATAATAAGAGCTCCCATCATATTTGGGTGTGGTGAGGATCACAGAAAGTGATGTGTGTGAAGCACATAGCCCACTGCATTTTAGCAGCTTAGTGAATGTTAGCTTCCTTTCCTTTCCTCCCTCTCTTTCTTTTTACTTTCTTCCTTTCACTTTCCCTTTATTTTTTTCTCCCTTATTTCCTATTTTTATTATTTTATCTCTTTGTTCTTTATCTTATCATTGACTCATCTGTGACTGCCACAGTTCTAGGTCAAGAAACACAGTGGTCCTCAGCTGAGGATACTTTTCATCTTCAGAGGGCATTTAGCAATGTATAGAGACAATGTTGTTTGTCACAACTGAAAAGATGCTAATGGCATCTAGTGGGTAGAATTAGGAGTGTTGATAAATATAATGTCCAGGATAGGCCCTCACAACAAATAATTATGCATTCCCACAGGCCAACTGTTCTGAGTTTGAGACCCCTGTTCTAGAGGTTTGGACATGAATGAGATATCATCTTGACAGTCTCCAGGGCTCACAGGAGAGGCAGAAGAAATGAGAATAATGTCCTAGCTTAAGTAGCAGGTACAGGGTTCTGTAGAAGCAAAATAGAGATATCAATTAATTCTATCTTAAGAGAATACAGAAGATCAAAAGTCACTTTATGAAAAAGACACCTGCACTTGAATGTTTATAGCAGCACAATTCACAATTGCAAAGCTGTGAAAACAACCCAAGTGCCTGTCAATTCATGAGTGGATTAATAAAATGTGGTATATGTATACCACGGAGTACTACTCAGCTTTAAGAAGCAATGGTGACATAGCACATCTTGTATATTCCTGGATAGAGCTAGAACCCATTCTACTAAGTGAAGTATCTCAAGAATGGAAAAATAAGCACCACATGTATTCACCGGCAAATTGGTATTAATGGATCAACACCTAAGTGGACATATAGGAGTAACATTTATCGGGTGTCGGGAGGAGGGGCTGGGTATATACAAACACAACAAGTAAGATAAGCAACGTTTAGGGGATGGACACGCTTGAAGCTCTGACTCCAGGGGGGGAGAGGGGCATGGGCAATATATGTAACCTTAACACTTGTACTCCCATAATATGCTAAAATAAAAATAATAATAATAAAAAAGAGAATAAGAAAGTCCTTATAAAATAAATAATACTTTTGATTTTGTAATAATCTTAGATAATACTAAAAATACAATATAGTTCCTACATAATGAGTGCTTTCTAGGAACCAGGCATTGGGTTGGCTTTTTCTATACATTACAAAAGAATGTGTTAAGAGCTCTGTGTGAGGAGAAACAAGATCTGTATCTTCAGCATCTACAACAATGCAAGCTGGGTATTAGGCACTCAATAAATATATACTGAATGAATATATGAATGTAAACATCTTAGTTATGAGCTTGGAAAATAATAAGCACCCACTAAGTAGCCTTTCTTGTTAATTTATCTTTTACCAGTAATATATGTTATGTCAATTTCACTAGCTCATAGTATTAGTAAATTTTTAAACAATTGGTTTTGACTTCAAGGTTAATGCTCTGAACAATTAAGTATCAGAAATTTTATAGGAAAACAAGATAGGAATGGGTGAAGGATAAAACATTATAAATGAGAAAAAAAAAAGCATGCCAAGTCATGCATATAATAAGGGCTATTGTGAGGTAATAATGATTAGACTGCACAAGGACAGTAGATGGTATAGGGCAGAACAGCAATAAGGTTAGTCATATTGCAGAGGCTCTGGCATGACCTGCTAAGGTGGGCCTGGCATCCAGGCTATTAACAGCATCACAGGTAAGTGTTTCTTCTGCAGTTTTTCCTTGAGTCTGTGGAAGGAGTAAAGTGCAAGAAGCACCTTTCTCCCTGCTCAGATAAGCAGATGGTAAAACAAAGGCAAGTAGAAAAAGAGGGGGAAAAGGAAAATAAATGGATTTGGACAGAAATAGCAGGGCAGATATCCTAAGGGAGGGGGAAAAGGAAAATAAATGGATTTGGACAGAAATAGCAGGGCAGATATCCTAAGGGAGGGGGAAAAGTAAGCCAGTACAAAAACTGCAAACCAAAACAAACAAACAAAAACAATGTACTCAAGAAACTGATAGTATAAAATACCAAAATTATATGCTGCCAAGCTTATTGTCTAACACCTTTATTGCAATCAAGAATTCAGTATTAAGGCTTTTCTACTTTCCTGCCATTATCACCCTTTGTGCTAAAAGAGTTTGATTTTCTATGAAACAGGTGCTCCAGGTGCATACATTTTGGCACCAAATAGTTAAGACTGTTGCCAGGAAGTCTTGCCACACAGTGAGACTTTCAAGCTCAATCAGAATCTAATCTTGACTCTTAGCAAGTCTCTTCTTTGTGGGACTCCTCAACTCAACTTCAGAGATGAGACACTGAAATAAATGATTCCTGCTTCACTGCATAGAGCCAACAACCTGAGAATACCAATCAAGAAGTTGCACTCTGATTTCTGTGTCTCAATTATACTATTTTTCAAAAACCAACTTAGAATATCAAATGCTATAATGTGTTATGCAGTTATTATGTAACAGGAACTTCCCAAGTGATTTAAACATATCTCACGTAATCTTTCCAACAACTCTGTGGCCAGATAATCTTCATTTTGGAAGTAAATGAATTAAGTCTTAGAAATCTAATAATAGCCAACATTTATTGATCAGAAAATATGTTTCAACAAACATTTTGAATGTTTTTCATGCATTCTTTCATTTTTATTCCCATAAAACCTTTTCTGTAGATGCATCCTGACTATATACCCTGACATAACTATACTGGAGTCTTGCACAAAACTTTTTGCCTCCTGCCTCCATACTCCCTAGCTCTGAGTGCCTTACTGGTGCTCAAGAAATGAGTAGTGAGTAGAGAGAAGAAAACAAGAAGGATAAAACAAGAAAAGGAGGGATTCAGCAGGTATGAAAGGATAGAAGGAAGGGGGTAATTAAATCTGTAACATTCCAATAGAATAGAAAAATAGATAATATCATATGTAAATCTCAGTATGGTCAGCCCTACCATGGAAGTAAGCACCAGATAAATAATACAGCAAAAGAAAAAGGCATTTGCATCAGTCTAAGGATTCACGGAACACTTCCATAAAGATACTTTATCTTGGATAAATCCTACAATATGAAGAGTAGTAGCTTAGACAACAAAATGGGAAGAGGTCATGGCCCACATGCTTGAGCAAAGAAGTAAAATGAGAAGGTACTTACTAAATCTTGGAGAATCACAAACACCATGGCTGTTGTTCAAATGAAGGCACCATTTTTATGTGCTTTGGATCTCCCACTTAATCCTGGTAATCTAAAGAATATGACTTAATTATGAGGCACATTCAGCAAAAGTCTTTAGGTCCCTTTATTTTTTCAGCATCTCATATTATAGCCTGAAATGTTGAGTATTAGCTACAGCATGGTCCCTACCACAAACTTGGCTTGGTTGTAGCCCTGGTAGAACAGGTTGCTTATGAAAACACTTCTTAGAATCACCAGAAAATTCACAGAAAACTATGATTCTTATCAATGGCCTAATGTTTAAAGTATTTATTGAAGTTATTTATAAACAAATGTTACTTCCTCAGTAAAACAATAAAGACCTTTAGGTTTGGACTGTAATTAACACATTTTGGTACATCCTTAGCATCATGTCCTTAGTAAACTCTAAAGAGACTACATACTTGGTTGATTAATTAAAACATGAAGGAGATAATTCTTAACTCTACAAACTATAGTTTTCTAAAAGGGTAAATCTTCCACTTACTTACTATAAAGGTTGTGTAAAAGATATTTTAGCAGGAAAAAAATCAGCACTGAAAAGAAAGGCTTAAGAAGAAAAGGAAAAAAAAAAAAAAAAACATTACCCAAAGAGTTGCAACAATGGTAGCAGAGGCAAAATGTTGCAGGAATATGTTAATCACATAAAAGGGTACAGATAGATCAAGGATTAGAACAAAAAACAGGACAGTTCAGATATAAAAAGGAAGAACAAACAATAAAAGCCAGGTCCTAAGAGTCAGCAAAAGATTATAGTGATAACTGGACATGGAATTATTTACTGTGGGAATCACTACCTCCTGCTGTTCTATAGATATAGTATATGCTCTGGATAAGAGACCACAGTCATATGGAAGCCTTAAGAAAAATGCAGTGGATAAAAATTTAATTTAGCAATTCACCAAACATTTATTATGTATCTACTCTGGACCGAGAATTGTGTTAGGCTGTAAAAATACAAAGATGAATGGGACAAAGACAAATGAGCTCATGGTTTACTGGGGTGAAATGACATGTATTATAGCTTTTTGTTAACAATGTGATAAGTGTTATAACAGACGTATATGTTCAGTGTTTATATGCTCAGTGCTTTGGAAACAGAGGAGAGAACAGTTTAATCTATCTGGGGGAATCTGGGGAGAAACAGAACTTTAAAAAAGCAATAGCATTTGCACTTGGTCTTCAAGGTTGAGAAAAAGTTTCCCCAATGGATAATGGGGAATGAGAGGCAGATTTTCTAGGCAAAGACTAGATCATGAGCAAAAGCAATAAGGCATACACATTTTTTGTATGCTAGAAAAATCTCTTATAAAAGTGGCAGAATATAGCTGAAGAATTTGCTGCTTATAGTTTAAGAATGAAAAGTAAGTAAGTAGGATCTGGGTTGTAAAGGCTGTGAATGACATGCAAAGGAATCTGGACTTTTTTTGGTTGTTGTTCTTTAGTCAAAATATTAGAAGCTTTAAAATGAGAAGCAGTGATTGTGGTATGCTTTAGAAA